AAAAGCGAGAGCACACAAGGGAGGGGTGAGGATAGGTAAGACACCTAAAAATTAGCTAGCATTTGTTGCCCTTAACGCAGAGAAACTATAGCAGATACCTTAAAAGCAACTGAGGCCAATAGGAAAAGGGGACCAGGAACTAGAGAAAAGGTTAGATCAAAAAGAATTAACCTAGAAGGTAACACACTGCACAGGAAATTGTGAGTCAATGCCCTGTATAGCTATCCTTATCTCAACAGCAAAACCCTTGTTCCTTCCTATTATTGCTTATACTCTCTCTACAACAAAATTAGAATAAGGGCAAAATAGTTTCTGCTGGGTATTGAGGGGGTGGGAGAGGGGGGGAGTGGGTGGTAAGGGAGGGGTGGGGTAGGGGGGAGAAATGACCCAAGCCTTGTATGCACATATGAATAAAAAAAAAAACATCACCAAACAGAAAAGGGCTGGCAGAGTGGCTCAAGGTGAACACCTGGAGTTCAAAAGTCCAGTATAGCAAAAAAAAAAAAAAGAAAGAAGTTAATCAAAAATAAATAAAAGTCAGGTAATCTGACTGACTAGCTAGGGGCAGGAATGAAATCATTTTCTCTGCTTGTGAGTTAATTCAAGTAAATGTGTAAAGAAAGGGTCCTGCCATGCCCTTAGGAACATTGCCAAGGACAGGTTTCTCAAATAACATTTAGCAGCTGAACTTCTCAGTGGAACTTGAGACTTGTACATTCAAGTATGCTGTATGTTTCCTTATAACTCTTATATCTCCAACATAAGAATGTCTACAGATGCCACACCTATCAATATCTTATGTCATAGATCATACTTCACCACTATTCCAACTTTTGAGTTTTTTTTGGCATTAACTACAATCTTTTTCAGGAAATTTCCTTCCCCAAAATCTTGAATAACAAACTTTCTCTTGAATTAGGAATGACTCAATGACATTCCTCAAATAACCTTCTATGAATACTTAAAATAAAGTGAATCACCAATAAATAATAGGCCAATTCTTTCCATACCTTTCATCTAATATCTCTTCCGTCCTCCATGCCAGGTCTCTTCCTTTCTTTTCCTTCTGTACAACCCTTTCATTTCTTTCTTAATTTTTTTCTCTTTCCCTTATCAAATGTAATTTCTGAGAATAAGAATTAAAAAAAACATATTGAAGTGCTCCATAAAATATTTTGTTGAATGAAACGAAGAATGATTAAACCAATTTCTTTTTAAGAGACGATCACTACATGCAGCCCTATGCAATAAATTCATCTCATTGTAATTTCCTCTGACCGACACAGTTCTAGATTCTGCCCTCCTCTTTTTTTATTGTTTTTTTCATTATTCATATGTGCATACATTGTTTTGGGCTATCTCTTCTCCTGCCCCCACCTCCCTCCACTTCCAGGCAGAACCTGTTCTGCCCTCTTCTCCGATTTTGTTGAAGAACAAAACATAAGAGATAATAAGAGAACAAGCGTTTTTGCTAAAGATTGAGAACACTACAGAATCGCTATATAGAGAAGATTCCTAGCATTGCTTCATGCATAAAAAAAAAACAAGTGCATTACAACCCAAAATTGGTTCATCTCTAACCTGACTCTCACTACTTCTGGTCACTTCCCAAGTGGCCTCGCCAGTTTTACAGATTACTTTATTAGCTCCTCAAGCAGTGGCTGCCCTACTCTTAACAGATTATCTTCTATAACTATATTCCATGGTCTTTGTGATATTTCCACACTGCATTTTACTACAATATTATTACTTATAATCTTTCTGCATATGCTGATGTTGCTTGAGGGAGCATTACTTGTGTCTTATCTGCAGAATATAAGTAGTATTACTGAGCACTTACAATGTAAAGGAAGCTGGTCTAAGCGTGTCATAATGGGTTTACTCACTTCTTTTCCTTCAGTAAGTTGCATGAGATAGATATGAAGGTATTATGCAAGCTGACCCTATAAGCTGAGAAATGCCAGACACAAATGATCTGCCTAAAGTAAAACCAGTGAGCGGCACAGCTTTGACTGAAGTCCCTGAAGTCGACTGAGAAGCTTGCATTCTTTTTTTTTTTTTTTTTCATTTTTCTTTATTATTCATATGTGCATACAAGGCTTGGTCATTTCTCCCCCTGCCCCCACCCCCTCCCTTACCACCCACTCCACCCCCCTCCCCCCCTCAATACCCAGCAGAAACTATTTTGCCCTTATCTCTAATTTTGTTGTAGAGAGAGTATAAGCAATAATAGGAAGGAACAAGGGTTTTTGCTGGTTGAGATAAGGATAGCTATACAGGGAGTTGACTCACATTGATTTCCTGTGCTGTGTGTTACCTTCTAGGTTAATTCTTTTTGATCTAACCTTTTCTCTAGTTCCTGGTCCCCTTTTCCTATTGGCCTCAGTTGCTTTAAGGTATCTGCTTTAGTTTCTCTGCATTAAGGGCAACAAATGCTAGCTAGTTTTTTAGGTGTCTTACCTATCCTCACCCCTCCCTTGTGTGCTCTCGCTTTTATCATGTGCTCATAGTCCAATCCCCTTGTTGTGTTTGCCCTTGATCTAATGTCCACATATGAGGAGAACATACGATTTTTGGTCTTTTGGCCAGGCTAACCTCACTCAGAATGATGTTCTCCAATTCCATCCATTTACCAGCGAATGATAACATTTCGTTCTTCTTCATGGCTGCATAAAATTCCATTGTGTATAGATACCACATTTTCTTAATCCATTCGTCAGTGCTGGGGCATCTTGGCTGTTTCCATAACTTGGCTATTGTGAATAGTGCCGCAATAAACATGGATGTGCAGGTGCCTCTGGAGTAACAGTCTTTTGGGTATATCCCAAGAGTGGTATTGCTGGATCAAATGGTAGATCGATGTCCAGCTTTTTAAGTAGCCTCCAAATTTTTTTCCAGAGTGGTTGTACTAGTCTACATTCCCACCAACAGTGTAAGAGGGTTCCTTTTTCCCCGCATCCTCGCCAACACCTGTTGTTGGTGGTGTTGCTGATGATGGCTATTCTAACAGGGGTGAGGTGGAATCTTAGTGTGGTTTTAATTTGCATTTCCTTTATTGCTAGAGATGGTGAGCATTTTTTCATGTGTTTTCTGGCCATTTGAATTTCTTCTTTTGAGAAAGTTCTGTTTAGTTCACATGCCCATTTCTTTATTGGTTCATTAGTTTTGGGAGAATTTAGTTTTTTAAGTTCCCTGTATATTCTGGTTATCAGTCCTTTGTCTGATGTATAATTGGCAAATATTTTCTCCCACTCTGTGGGTGTTCTCTTCAGTTTAGAGACCATTTCTTTTGATGAACAGAAGCTTTTTAGTTCTTCACCACTGGGCTGTACTGCCTCTTGAACTTGGTGAATACCAATTATCCTATGGAAGTGTCCTGAATAAATAACACCAAACTCTGTGACTAAGGATTTTTAATCACTGACTATTTATATGAGAGAATCACTTATTTAGATTTTTTTTGGATATTACCAAGTATTCTTCCAAAAACACAGTGCTGATTTAAGCTTCTAGCCCATTTGATATCAGTCCATCTTCAATTTTATGGGGAGGAAATGCAGGAATGAACATTTAATAGATTTCTGCAGCACTGAAAGGTATTATCCAAACTTTACAATGTAATGTATAGCAAGCTATATTTGAATACAGTCCTCTAACTCTCTATCAAAATTAAAAATACACGTATTTTATAATCTGACAATCTCTCGTGAAAAAAATCTGTCTTACACAATTACTTTCACTGGTGCATAAGATACCAGCATGATGTATTAACTGAAGAATTCAAACATGATGTATCAACTGAAGAACTTTTTTCAGGTGTAAGAGGGTGAATTTACTAGAATTATTATGTATTCATGTATAAAAATGCAAAAATGAGACCTGTTTAAACTGTTCCAGGAATGGGGGGAAGAGGGGTAAAGAAGGACGGAGTGAGTGAATCCAAGTATGATATATTGTAAGAATGTTTGTAAATGTAACAATGTACCCCCAGTACAACAATAATATGGTAATAAAAAAGAGTTTTAGACAGAAAAGTAAAACAAAAAAATCACAGAATAAAAATCAGAAGACATTATAATTATCTACCAATAGCAGCCAGTTAAATTCTGAAATATTCATGTAATTGAGATACTATACAGACACTTAAAAAATGAGGTGAAATTAAACCTTGTGGTTGAAAAATTACCATGATAAACTGAAAGTGGAAAGGAGTAAGTTTCAAAACTAGATGCATTAAAAATTCATTTTATCAAAGTGCAACTAAAAAGCCAGCCCATATATATGGTTACATTACATGTAATATATGTATAATGTAGGGAGCAAAGGTCCTCTCCTTTTAATCTCCCAGACTTTCTGTGGAGATTGATGAATGTGTCCAGTTTTTCTGTGAAAATACAGATATACTGTCTTGAATTACTCTACCACTTAAGCCAGGCCTCCAACCAATGTCTTGATTTAGATCACAAACCTCCATGTGAGGGCAACTCAAGAGGTGGCAGGTGTTCACTGCAGCCAGGGAACCTTAGAACTTCATCTGGGTGCTTGCTTCACCTTGAACCATTGTTGGGATTAAACTTGAGCTCTGTAAAGTCTTTTTGAAATGTATCTGCCTGGTCACCCCCATGCTACTTTTGTGTCCAAGCTTGATTTTTATGTAAAAAAGAGAATGGTGGATTTTTATTTGAGGGCCAGAGCTTTAAAGGAGAGCAGAATCATCCCTTTAAGCCAGCATGATGTCAATGTAAGAGTTTTTGAGGAATTTCCAGGGAAATGTTGGACTCAGGAGTTCAGCTCCAGTTTAGTTATCTCTTTTCACATGAAAAATTTCCCTCTGCCAAACATGGTGTATCTGTGTTTGATATTAATAGAGCCTGGGAGTCCTTACAGAGACCAGAATTCTCACTCTTTTGTGTAATTATGTTGATGACTCCATGTAACAGTGGAGTTGCTTCTGGGAGTACTCTCAATGTAATTAACTCTCACTTAAAAAACTACTTTACCTCTCCAGAATATTTGACTCCATCCACTGTGTGCTCAGAACCACTGTCGTTTGTACTTCCCCAGTGGAAATGGAACTGAGCAAGCTTATAACCTTCAGAGAGAGGACCACCTTTCAGCACTAGAAAGAAAAGAATTTACTATTATTCTTATGATCGTAACTCCAGCATATCTTTGCATTTAATATAAACCAACAGAAAACTGTGTTGAGCAAAAGTGAAAACAAACACTCATGCCAAAGTTTTCATCTTGGTTTCACACTCCTACACTCACAATGATGGCATTCGTGTATATGAGACATCTCTGATTGTGACAGTGATAAAATAGTCTATGAGTTATACACAAGTCTCAGCACAGGGCCCAAATTTTAACTATTTCTACACCAAAAAAGCATATTGCAAAGTGACAACTATATGATTACAGGACTTTCTTTGAATTTCCTTTAATATGCAAGTTTATTCATTCATTCTTTCAATAAAGACTGTATAGGTAGTTTGCATCAAAGTTGATAGTAATTTATTTTGATTAACAAATTACTCATCACATGTTTTGTATTTAATGAAGACATAACAGTATATCTTGACAACTTTGTTGAGAATCACTAGAGAGGGACCAAGAGACACTTCCTGTGGGGCAGGGTCACTTTAAAAATATTTGCATCAAATGACCTGTCATTTTGGAGAGTCTGTCCAATCATGTGTTTACTTATGCACATATGACACCAGACTAGATTTAATATTAAAAGACATTTCCTCAAGATGCCTAAAATTTAGGCTCAGAACCTTATAAGAAAGTGCTAAAATTATTTGGTCTTTTACATCAGTGGAGCTGTCAAACATATTGTCATTCAACAACTTTTCAGTAAATATTTATGAAAAGCTGACCATATTACAAGCAGTGTGCCAGATTCTGGGGTATGTGAATAATTCAGTCATCCTGTCTCTGCTTCTGTACTGTGCTCATCCACCCTCATCCTGATTGGAATATATTTGCCTTTTCAGTTTTTATATTCATAATGATTTGCTCACTAGACCTTTTTAGAGAAATGCTATTTGGACGGAAAGAATGAAGTGAGCTTAAAGAACTGGAATGGACAGAACAGTTGAGATGGTATCATTAGGAAGGAGAAGGACTAAAAGAACACAGAGATGGGAGTTCCAAAATTCATTTTATCTCTTGGGCATTTTAAAGATATCCAGAATGCCTCCCACATTTCAGCAGTGCTCCACACATGCTCCAAACACTTAGGATGACCGTTAGTATTTGTTAAGCTCCATTGTTTAATTTCCTCAGTAGATTCTAGTGAAAAAATAATCACAATAGTCTTTGGATTCACCTGATTGGTTATTATTCTCATCAAAAACTACATGGAAGGAATGTCCCACGTTGACAATTTCTTTGGCATTGGCTGGATTGTAGGAGATACTGATAGGTTTCAGAGAGGTATCATGTTTGACTTCATGAGTTTTGATATCAATAGGAGACTGGTTATTTCCATTGGCTATGGGATACAGCTTGCTCCATTGCTCAGGACCTAGCAGGACAAATGCATTCAATCAAGACTTTATAGAATGCTTGATTCCAATTTTTAGGTCTCTACCTACCTGTTTGCTAATTAGGTTATGGTTTATTTGGCATCTTAAGTGGCATTCTTTTTTAGCTTAATGAAAATTCTGTGTTTGAGAGAGTCCTTTTTCTATACTATATTACAAAACAACATTATTTGTCAACACCAGGAAGATAAACATATACACATAATCTGTACAATTATAAATATTTTACTATGAGCAAGAGATTTATAATATACATGTATATGTAGACATATTTGCCCCAAAGAACAACTGCTAAAAATACCTACAAAGATATTATAATTATTCAAAACAGGCAATCTGAACCATTAACCTATGCTTATTCAGTTATGTTAAATGCTTTATACTTTTATTAGAAAAAAAGAACAAGTTATTTGATCTATATGAAAAGAAATACTCTTACCATTTTTGCCATCATATCCCCAGTCTGAACTTGCCATGATCTTCTAACTAGTTTTATTTTCTGAAAAAAAAATTATAACCTGGAATAACTACCTGCAACTGCGCATGCAGTAGGTAACTTAAACTGCCACTTGGGGTTTTTATAGAAACTTCTCTGCCCTTAATAGAACACTATGTCATCATGTCTGCTTATCAGGAAATATATACATGCAAATAAAAAGGCATTGTAAAAATGTCTACAAGGGTTAGGTCAGCTTGAATTGTTTTATTTTATTATATTATACAAGACAAACATCAAAATCACAGATTTTATTGAACAAAGTCTTGCTTCTCTCATGTTAGCAAACGACATGGCTGAATATTATCATCTGAAATTCTTTGGATTGCCTAAATTAAAAATACTTTATATACTTAAGATTTCCAGTTATACTCTTGCTGGATATTTAAGCAATACTAGCAACAGTAATTTAATAGCAGATTAATTTGCAGATATACCAGTTGATCTGAGCTAGTATCATGATGTTAATTTAGAAACAGATAATAAAATTAGTAATTGTTTATAATATATTATTAATAAGTGATATATTTTATAGGCACACAGAGTAAGAATTAAGTCCTCATTCTGGAATAATATTGGAATTCATTAAGTAGAGAATATTTTATTAATATTGAACTTGCTTAATAAAATATTCTCTACTTAATGAACTTGCTCCAATATTTCTGTTACAAACCAAGTAAATTTGTTAGAATAAAAGCCTTCTTTTTATAGTTCTATACAATTGATAAAGCACTTCCATACTATTTTATTTCTCTCTCATACACATATGCACACACAAAATACCATAAATAAGAATTATTTTTTAGTTGAGAGATGTTGAGGAACTTCACCATGACTATCAAGAAGTCAAGAAGACCTTGATCTCCAATCTAGAGCTTTCTTCACCATACCACTAGTGAAGTAGCATACAAATGCTACACTAGGTAAGGCATGAAGTAGATGATCCCCTAATTGTCCTTCTATGCTACAATTCTTAAGTCCAATTTAAGTCTGGACCAAGATGAGAACTGACACCTGTTGAGTGATGAGAAGGTCCACAGGACTTTTCAGGGAGGCAAAGAAAATTGATTAGGATGTGTTAGATTCTGGCTAGGTCCTTGTTTTCAAGGTTCTAAATGTGTTTCTTGGAAATACAGCCAGACAAATAAGCTTCCAAAATAGCAAGAGTCATAATTCCTGTCATGCTGTAGAATTGTCTGAGCTGCTTGCAACCCCCGAAAGAAGATGGGAGTGGGCAGCATGATCAGGGTCATGTGGCTGATGACAGTCTTACCTCATATGCAAAGTGGATATGGTTTATGACCATTCTTAGGGAAGGACTGAATATCCATTTAGAAAGAGGCCCAAGCTCCCATTGTATAGCACTAGTAGGCACTAGGAGATATTGCTTAAAAGGGAGCTTCAAAAATTTTTTTAATGAACAAAATTGACAGATAACATTGTGAGCATTTATCATGCACACTATGATTTGTTGAAGTATATGAACATTGTGGAATGGGTAGATCTTGCTGATTAACAATCATGTTACCTCACTCAGTTATTTTTGTTGTGAAAGCACTTACTTCCATGCTCTTTGAGTTTTCTGACAGCACAGTAAATTATCATTAATGATAATCACCTCGCTGTATAATAGATGTCTTGAATTTATTCTTTCTATCTAACTGTAATTGTGTATCCATTGATCAATCTTTTTAAACCTTAAGTTGAACCGCCATATTAATTGACATATTTGGAAAAAAGACAACCCCTTTGCATTACATTATTACAGGGTGATTCATTACACGAATGTTTTAACATTTATATGGAATGGTAAAGTTTCATGTATAAAATTACTTTAACCTCTAACTATTTGACCCTTTATTTTATTGTGTACCCAGGGTATGCTTGAGTATCCCACAAGCAGAACATTAAATAGAGAGAGGACGTAAAATTTAATACTCACCTAGAGTTTAAGCCCTAATGTGGCTTCCACTTACCTTTACTCCTCTTTCTCTGCTTACAAACTTTGCCTCTCCCAGCTTAATATCTACGCCAAATCCAAGATGTTTTATTTTGCATTAATTTCATTTTCACCTACAGACTTTGTCCAGGGCTGAAATATTTGAAGTTTTTTGCTCCAAGAAGATGTTTGATCTACACCACCTCTGCTGTTCTAAACATGCTATTTCTTAAACTCATCAACTACATAAGCACATATGGAAGATGGTTTTTTGTTTTTTCCTGATAGACGGTTGTGAATAAATCCATATGCACTTGAAATTTGATCATGAGAAACTGGGCTGATGGAAAAAAAATCTATATTTTTTTAGAAAAGTAATGCAGAAGTACATAAATAATCTTGATAGAGCATTGCTTACTTGATAGCACTAGGAAGTATCAAGAGTGCTAAAAATTTCCTATTATTATTAAGGAGAGCTGTTTTATAGTGTCCTTATGCTAGAGGGCAGCAATGTGGCAAGAAAAGACTACTGCTTATTAAGTGACTTCTACTTGGCTGTTTAAAGTAATTGACAGTCCTCACAACAGAGCCAGGAGGGAGGTTAGTGTCACTTACTTGTAAAGAAATATCTGAAGGTCAGAAAATTCAAGGAGTAGAACAGAATTTGAATCCATTTCTGGTTACCTCCGCAGCCCAGGAATGCATCTTCATTTTTATAATATCACAACCCATCTTTATTAGATTGTCTCTGAGATATTTGCTTTAATGTTAGTGAGTAGCTTATTTTACTTATTTTTTATTACTTTATTAGTGTCTAAAAATAATTTTCAAAAAGCAATAGCATTTTCAGTTTTATTGCATTTTAAAACTATATGTTATCCACTTTGAGGTATTTGAGGGCTTTTTAGCATTTCTTATTTTTAACTTTCTTCTTTTAGTTCTTTAGATTAATATTTTCCTCTGTTTTATACTTTAATATTTTAAAATTAAACCACAAACTCCCATAGGTAAATCAATTATGCTGAGTTTCAAAATTAAATTTGCAATTAAAAATAATTTTCGGTAGAGAAGGAATAAAAAGTACAAAGAGACCAATGTCTAGCTATAGTCGAAATGGGCTAGACATAACTAAATAGAAAAATGCGTACCTCAGTTGTTTCCAGTTACAGAAGGCAAAAACTACTCTATAATACTTAAGAGTTTCACTCTTGGGATCCAGATTGTATCAGTCAGCTTCCTATTATAACAAAGTACTGAGATAATTAGCTCATAGAGAAAAATGACTTATTTTGGCTCATGTCTCTGGACGTTTAGTCCAAGATCTAGTGCTCCATTGCTTTGGGCCTCTGATTAGGCAGCATATCATGGTGAATGTGTATGTAGCAGAGCAAACCACTACTTCATGAGCTAGGAAGCAAAGCAAAAGAGGACCAGCAGGGTCCCACAATTCCCTTCAAAAATGTGTTCCCAATGACCTAAAGACCTCCATAGGCTCTTCCTCCTAAAGGCCCACAGCACTACCCAATAAAGCTTCCCTGGGGACAAAATTTTTAATACATGAATCTTTTGAGGGCATTGAAAATCCCAACTATTACACATATTTTTCCTAAAATGAGGAAATATAGAAATTGCAAAAATCAATACTTATTTTTAACTATTAAATTCCATATTAATCTCACATCGTTCTCTAAATTTCCTGCTCTTTCAGAAATGATACTGCTTGGTGTGGCAATATAAATCTTTTTTTGAGGTGCCAAAAATATACGATGGAGAAAAGACAGCCTCTTCAACAAATGTTGCTGGGAAAAGTGGTTACCCGTCCGCAAGAAATTGAAACTAGATTCATGTCTATCACCCTGTACTAGTATCAATTCAAAAATGGATCAAGGACCTAAATATCAGACCTGAAACTCTGAAGTTACTACAGGAAGGAACAAGAAACACTGTGGAACTAATAGGTATAGGCAAAGACTTCCTCAATAGAACCCCAGCAGCCCAGCAATTAAGAGAAAGGATGAATAAATGGGACTCCATAAAATTAAAAAGCTTCTGCACAACAAAAGAAATGGTCTCTAAACTGAAAAGACCACCCACAGAGTGGGAGAAAATATTTGCCAGCTATACATCCAACAAGAGACTGATAACCAGAATATACAGGGAACTTAAGAAACTAACTCTCCTAAAATCAATGAACCAATTAAGAAATGGACACCTGAACTAAACAGAACTTTTTCAAAAGAAGAAATTCAAGTGGCCAAAAAACACACGAAAAAATGCTCACCATCTCTGGCCATAAAGGAAGTGCAAATCAAAACCACACTAAGATTCCACTTCACCCCTGTTAGAACAGCCATCATCCAAAACACCACTAACAACAAGTGTTAGTGAGGATGTGGGGGAAAAAGGAACCCTCGTGTACTGCTGGTGGGAATGCAGACTGGTGCAACCACTCTGGAAAAAAATTTGGAGACTTCTTAAAAATCTAAACATGGACCTGCCATATGATCCAGCAATCCCACTCCTGGAGATATACCCAAAGGAATGCAACACAGGTTACTCCAGAGGCACCTGCACACCCATGTTTGTTGCAGCACTATTCACAATAGTCAAGTTATGGAAACAACCAAGATGCCCCACTACTGATGAATGGATCAAGAAAATGTGGTACTTGTACACAATGGAATTTTACTCAGCCATAAAGAAGAATGAAATCTTATCATTTGCAGGTAAATGCTGGAAAACATCATTCTAAGCGAGGTCAGCCAAGCTCAGAAGACCAAAAATCGTATGTTTTCCCTCATATGCGGACTTTAGAGCTAGGGCAAATGTAGCAATGTGATTGGACTTGGATTACAAGAAAAGGGGAGAGCACATATGGGAGATATAGGAATAGGTAGAAAACCCAAAACATGAGAGTGTTTGGTGTCCCCACTCCAAAGGAACTAATAACAGAAACTTTAAAACGACAGGTTATCATAAGCAGGGGATCAGGAACCAATGTAAAGATCAGTTAGAGTTGAATCAACATGGGTTGTAACACATGTATACATGAAAGCAATGCTAG